GGGGGGGGGGATGTTTTGGGTTGGTGCAGCGGTTGGTGATACATTGCACATTTCTATTTGTACTCTATCGTTTTATTCTATCCCTGCCCCCCTTCTGTTTTTTTCTCTTACCTTGGACATCATCATAATCGTCACATTAGAGCACACATAATGTAAAAACTGAAATGAATAAAAAAACAGATTCACATGAACAAGAAGACCCTACAGACATTCTGTATAGCTGTTCTGCAAAAGCAAAATGTGTTTGGCACCACACACCACATTCAGATCACAATTGTGATCGCAAAAACTGCCAGACAGGACAGGATATAAAAAGAAAAACAAAAAGGAGTGAGGAAGAAGGATGATAATAAAAGAGATTGTAATAGATAAAGAATCTCCTACCTGCATAGAATTCTGGGATGGAGACAGCGCTAACGACTGGATTGAATTTCAAGCCTGAAACAAAAAAAAGCAAGACAAAGCTCAAAGTAAGATAGGTCGGGAAACAGGGAAGACCTTTTTACTGTAACATGGTATAAGGATACACTCACTAAATATGTATGAGTGTATTCATATGTCAGAAGTTGCTGTGTAGAACAGAGAGTGAACTGCAGCTATCTAAAGAAGTCCCACACTGTCACATGAAACCAAATAAATAAATAAAATCACAACAATACACTAAGTACATGTCCAGCTCCCTCTGAGAGTTTTAGACCATTTGAGTTATTAAATTTTTATCCTTTTAGAATCTTTTTACATTGGTCTCTTTTAGACAATCTAAGTACCTTGTAATTGCATGTAATTTCAACATATTTTATCTTTACAATGTAACTAATATTTACCTGTAAATAATTAAAACAATGAAAGAATGAAATTAATACACTATAAGTAAATTTAAGTACTATGTAAGTCATTAAAAAAACCTAACTATATTTCGCCATCTTACATCAAAGTACTCTGTGCTTTTCGGGGTGTGGCACATATTATGGAGTGCCTTTACTGACTTCTGGGTATTTTACAGTGAAGTAAGTTTAAGCACAGTGTAACTAATTTTAAGTAATTAGTAAGTAATTTTAAGTGGAAGTGATTAAAACTACTTTTTAAGTACAGTAAATGTTATTTTTATATACTGCATAATTGCATGGTAATTTTCCATTATCCACTCAACTTTCCACTTTTTGGGGTGTGGGCCAAATTATGGAGTCCATAGACCAGGGGTCTGCGACCTTTAACACCCAAAGAGCCATTTGGACCCGGTTTCCACGCAAAAGAAAAC